TGTTGGTACTGGATGCGGTCGTCGTCTTTGTCTTTTGGCAAGTCCTGTGATCTTCTGTGGCATGTCTTGTGATCTCCTTGTAAGTGAGTCAGGTTTCCTGTTGTCTTTTCCTGGTACCGACTTGATAGCGAATTGAAACTGTGATAGGAACTCGCTCCATCTGACTTGGCGTCTTGAAAGTTGCTTTGTTGTCATGAAATACCGAAGATTGGCGTGGTCGGTAATCACTGTGATCGGATGATGTGCGCCTTGCAGCTCGGGCCTCCAGCATTCGAAGCAGCGTACGATAGCTAAGAGTTCTTTGTCGTAGATTTCGTAGTTACACTCAGCGGGATCGTATTTCCTGGACATGAAAGCTACTGGGTGCAGTACTCCTTGATCATCTTCTTGGGAGAGAATACCTGAGGACACAAAATCGGATGCGTCACATTCGACAAACACCTCTTTTGTGGGGTCAAAGTGTCTGAGGATTGGGGCTGAGGTGAAGCTATTTTTGAGCGTGTCGAACGCCTCTTGGCAGGATGACGTCCAGTTCCATTTGACTAACTTCCGCGTCAGGGCAACAAGTGGTCGTACGATGCGTGAAAATCCTTTGATAAATCGTCTATAGAAATTCGAGAACCCTAAAAAGCCTTGTACGTCTTTCACGTTGGCTGGAGTTTCCCAATTAACGAGACAGTCGACTTTGGCTGGGTCCATTCGTACTCCCGTGGTTGAGATGATCATGCCCAGATATTTGACTTCCGTGGTCTCGAATTCGCATTTTCTGACATCGAGTTGCAGGCCAGCGGCTTCAAGCGCTTGGAGAACGGATTTGACATGGAGTCTGTGAGAAGCGAGGTCGTTTGAGTAGATGAGAATGTCGTCAATATAGGCTGTGCAAAATCTATCCAAGAATGGGCGCAGAACTTCGTTGATGCGGGCTTGGAAGGTAGCTGGGGCGTTTGATAGTCCGAAGGGCATTACCAAACTCTCGAAGAGACCATATCTTGTGTTGAATGCCGTCATCCACTCTGGACCCTCCTTGATACGTATCCGATTAAACGCTGCAAC